AAAACAGAAAAACAATCCTAGACGAGCGAATCAGGTCTCTCTCTCTCTCTCTCTCTCTCTCTCTCCTCTCTCTCTCTCTCTCTCTCTCTCTCTCTCTCTCTCTCTCCCTTCCCTTCCTCCTCGCTATCCCTCTCGGTCTTCCGCAGCAATCACTGCCGTTTCAGCTTCCTTACCCTCCAAAGTGTCCCGCTATCCATCCACGTTTCACACTTCCTCTATCCTCACAATTCTGTTGATCATCAGGCCGTCGCTCTGTCCCTTTCGGTGAGCTGACAGCCGACAGCCGTTGACAGGGTGTCTGGACAGCCAACCCCACTAAATCCCCTCCCTCTGTATCTGTCTATCGTGTAACTCACTCTCCCTCTCGGTGAGCTGACAGCCGACAGCCGCCGTCAGAGTGTCGGCCCAGTCCGGGTCACAGCACGAGCACGGGTCCTCCTCTGTACCGCCGCCGCCGCGCACCTACAGACAGGGGAGGGATGGCAGGTCACCGCATGTCACATCTTAGGGCAGGACGTCACGACCATTAACCCGCGCACCGACGGGGGGGGGCGGATATCCGCCCCCCCCCCCTGAGGTTTTTCGCGAATAGCGGGAAAACCGCGGCGCGTAGCGCCGCGAAATTTGGTATGACTATTCCCTTATCAATTTTACACATGGTGTGCAAGGTTGAACCTCCTACCTTTCAAGGTCAGGTCACCAGGTCACTTTGAATGACCCAACCTCAAGTCACTTTTTTGCAACTTTGTCACCGTGCCAGAGCTACAGTAGATGTCGGAGGCCTTTGAAAGTCGCAGGATGTTATTAGGTCATTAGTAGCTACAATTTGTATATCTCGGAATTTTGATATCGGTGACCTAAGGTCAGGTCAAGTTCGCGACCTCCCCATTATAAGTCAATGGGGGAAAAATCAACTCCCTGTTTTTACCACTAAAACGGGTCGGAATGGCCCCATATACCATACATGACTTCATATACGATCAACCTTCACTACCTTGAGGTCTGTTTTGCTGTTGGGCAGATGTGAGGTCATGTGACGTCATCAAAGGTCACCAAAGGATTTTGGCCAATAACTCCGTACAGGAACAAGATACAGACGCGTGGATGGTCTCATTGTGTTCAGCTCGTCAAGACGCATCGAATGATATACATGATGACCTCGAGGTCACGTGACCTGAGGTCAACCTTTGACCTTGACCTTTCGAGGTCAACATATATATCAATCGATGCGGATTGACGAGAGGATCACGATGATGCCCTTAGTTTGTTCCTATCTTGACTAATTCGAAAGTTATTCGAGAAAAACTCTCTCCATATTCAGCGCCGCCATTTTGACTTTTTCGACCCCTGTGACGTCATCTTTGACCTGACCTGAAAATGACCTTAGTAAAAATTGTAGATCTTGACCGTGCGTATCCGATGCCGTTTACCGCTTGTCGCTATCTTGCTTCGTTCTCGAGATCTCAGGGGAGGGGGCGGTCATCCGCCCCCCCCGTCGGTACTAAGTTGGCGCAGACCCCCGTCGGTGCGCGGGTTAAGTTATACACCAAGTTGGCGGTTGCAAGCAACAGTTCACTGCGGCCGCCAGTTACCACAGGCGATATATTCTATATGTGACATAAGCCAAGTCTTCAAATCTAAAGGATAGACTTCTGTTGATTGTGCGCCACTAGCAGTCTTCACTTGATCTGTTAAGGTATGTTTAGCAGCCCAATCCCCACCACACACACCCTTCACCCATTCCGACGATAGTCACCGTGCCGACGATTATCAACAGGGAAGGGGAAGGGCAGGGAAAGTATGCAACTCACCGGTCCACAGGCCACCATCAGTCCCGACAGCCACACGTCGATGTGGTCGACGGTGGCGGCGGCGGCGGGGACCGGCGCCGCTCCACCCCACTCGGCCACCACGGGTATCACTGTGTTACTGAGACGGAGACACAGCGGACACAGGAACTCGTGGCGCTGCACGTCGAACGATGACAGGTACTGGACCCTGCGGGCACAACGGGGCAGACGAGGGTCACATATTGAGTAAGTCAGTAGGGAGAAGGGTTTGTAGTTTGTGCTGCGTGGATCGGCAGAGTGCCGTCGCGACCGAAGGAAAAATGATTGAAAATGAAAAAAATGATTTGATGGCTATTGATAGAAAATTGGAGGGAATTTCGTTCCACGTTGAGACGACAGGTATCATTAAAAGGAGGCACTCAAATTTAAATGCGTTTGCAGCAATCCTAAAGAGTGTCGTTGTATGATTAAATTGACGAAATAGATACAAATTGCCATTACAATTAGAACACCGTAGAAAACGTCCTGCGATGGTCGTCTAGCTTTATATCACGGCAAAAAGTCACCTCTGACCCCAACTACCACTAAATCACCCAGACCCGAGGAGAGCCACTAGCACGTGACTCTGCCTACCTGGGGTGGGCGCGTCTGTCTCGCGCCACGCTGTCAAAGTGTCGCTGCCAGCAGGCGGCGTGCATGGCGTGCCCGCAGCTGGAGGTGTGTGGCAGCCGGTGCAGCGAGCTCGGCACGTACAGCACCGGGTTGGCCGCCGTGGACGCCCGGTCCCGGGACAGCACCGTCGACAGCTGCACAAACGCCGCCATCACCATGGCCGGCCGGGTGCTGGACACCTGCTCGGTGGCCTGGCACAGGATGCACGTGTACTCGGCGGGTGCGGCCGGCCGCGCCGACTGCCGCGGGCCCAGACACACGGGCCACCGGTCCGGCTCGGCGCCCTCGCTCAGGTCCATGGCCGACCCGGTGACGGCGGCCGCCCGCTCGGCCGACAGCGCGCCGCTCGGCTCCGCCTCCTCCGGCTCGGCCAGCGCCGTCATGTTCTCAGAGATGAACTTCTTCTGCTGCGCCTGCATCTGGCCGAGGATCCGCGAGCGCAGGGCGGCCGCCTTCGCCCGGCGGCGCTTCTGTTCGCTCCCGGCGTCCTCAGAGGCGGCTGCCTGGCTGTCCGAGGCGGCTGCCGTCCGGCCCAGCAGACGGTTCAGCTTCGTGTTCACCCAGGCCAGAAGGTCGGCGTGAGGACTGACGCGCGGGTTACCGACCTGGGGAACGAGCAAACACGATGGCAAAAAGCGAGCCAATGAACTGAACATAGACCAACGTAACGACAAAATGGCAAAAAAATGATAACATGGAATAAGTCACTTTGCATAGGTATATTTGATAATTGAAAAGCTCCAGAGACCATAGAATGCTAACCGGGTAAGATATCCATCAATTTATATCTCTGTCGTCGTCACAACGGACTCTTTCTCCCTCTGTCTTTCCCAATTCTCACCAGTTTTTGGAGCACGTCCACCAGCCCGACGCGCTGCGCCGGCCCGGAGAAGCAAAACGGCTCCGGCTCGTCGGTGTTGGCCTCGCGTTCCTCCTCGTTGAGCGCCGTGCCGATCAGGAACAGGGAGCGGAGCAGGATCAGCTCCAGAGAGGCGGCGAACGGCGCGTCAAACATCCTGCAGACAGGAGCGGGGGCGGGCAGAAAGCCGGTCAGAGGGTTAAATGGTAGCTTGTTTGGGAGAAAGCAACGTATCATGATAGTGTAAAATCGTCGGCTTAATAAAAGCAGTTGGGAGAAATGCCAACATGAGATAAAGAAGGCAAACATGCAGCTAGGCAGATGACATCACTAATAAGCAGAAAATTGTCCCGTTTTTTTTTTATCATGATTCCTCAGCTGCAGAACAAAAAAAGAAGAAAAAAGAGGAAGATGACACAGATATTACGAGACTGACCTGTTGAGCTGTTGCAGCAGCACCTGCAGCGTCACGTCACAGGTCAGGATGGCTCTGGCGGGCCGCAGCGCCGGCTGGAAGGGCGGCGCCGCCGGCGGCGGCAGACAGGCCGACTCACCGCGCTGCCGCCGCAGCCGCCGCAGTCTCTGCTCTGACTGGGACCGGTAGTGACGGGAGAAGTGGTGCCACATCGGGGTGTAACGGTGCGTGTACTCTGGCGATGGAGGGGGATGGGTTAGAGTTGCGGGTCTCGCAAGGCGAGAATGGATAGGTGGAGGCTAAAGTTAATGGGCAACAGTCTTATTACGAATGCAATACTGTTTCGATGCGTTTTAACACTCGCACCGACGGGGGTCTGCGCCAACTTCGTACCGACGGGGGGGGGGGGGGGGGGCGGATGACCGTCCCCCCTGAGATCTCGAGAACGAAGCAAGATAGCGACAAGCGGTAAACGGCAAGGGATACGCACGGACAAGGTCTACAATTTTTACTAAGGTCATTTTCAGGTCAGGTCAAAGATGACGTCACAGGGGTTAAAAAAGTCAAAATGGCGGCGCTAGGTATGGAGAGTTTTTCTCGAATAACTTTCGAACTAGTCAATAAAGGAACAAACTAAGGGCAGCATCGTGATCCTCTCGTCAATCCGCATCGAATGATATAATATATTTGACCTCGAAAGGTCAAGGTCAAAGGTTGACCTCAGGTCACGTGACCTCGAGGTCATCATGTATATCATTCGATGCGCCTTGATGAGCTGAACACAATGAGACCATCCGCGCGGCTGTATCTTGTTCCTGTACGGAGTTATTGTCAAAAAACCGCTGGTGACCTTTGCTGACGTCACATGACCTTACAGCTGCCCAACAGCAAAACAGACCTCAAGGTAGTGAAATTTGATCGTATATGAGGTCATGTATGGTTTATGGGGCCATTCCGACCCGTTTTAGGGGTAAAAACAGGGAGTTGATTTTTCCCCCATTGACTTATAATGGGGAGGTCGAGAAATTGACCTGACCTTAGGTCATCGATATCAAAATTCCGAGATATACAAATTGTAGTTACTAATGACCTTATAACATCCTGCGACTTTCAAAGGCCTCCGACATCTACTGTAGCTCTGGCACGGTGATAAAGTTGCAAAAAAGTGACTTAAGGTTGGGTAATTCAAAGTGACCTGGTGACCTGACCTTAAAAGTTAGGAGGTTCAAACTTGCACACCATGTGTAAAATTGATGAGAGAATAGTCGTACCGCACCGCGGTTTTCCCGATATTCGCGAAAACCTCAGGGGGGGGGGGCGGATATCCGCCCCCCCCCCCGTCGGTGCGCGTGTTAAGACGAAGGACCTATAAGCTGCTGCCTTACATTATTAGCATACCGCATTAGAGTAGCGTATTGAGAGCGGAGCATCGGTGCTTGGTTGGCTATTAGAGGTGGCAAAATGTGGACCCGAGGACCCGGTCCAAAGAACCAGTCTTCCGGGAAATTTTCTGACGGGTCCAACCGGGTCCTTCCATAAAGTTACTATACATCTTGCACACTACACATTATTGCAAAATATGAAGTGAAGGAAGTGAATGTTTCTTTGCGCACAGTAGCTCATGAGTATTTTCAGTGGGAAATAGGCTGTTTTACATGATGCAACTAATGATACTTACAAGTAGTTTGTATTAATTGACTTTTGGGGAACGGGTCCAACTGGTTCCGATTCCAACTAAGACCGGGTCCGACTGGTTCCAGAAATGTCCAGCCGGGTCTGGTTCGAGTCTGGTTCCCAAAATTTTCATCTTTTGCCACCTCTATTGGCTATGGAAGATACACCAACATACAATGATTACATACAGCGGAAGTTGAACAACCAATAGGGGACGAAAATCTGTTCTGACGTGTTGGATGATACATTCGTAACTGCACGTGTCATAGAACGTAACTGTCGTGTCATGGATGTATATTCTTAGCTGGTTATAATATGTGCTATATGAGCTGCTCTTACCTGGTTTGATGTGATAGGTGAGCTGCCCCCGGAAGTCCTGCTGGGTGGCGAAGTCGGCCACGCGTTTCACCGCCGCCTCCAACATGCCGCTGTCGGCCTCGCTCAGCTGTTTGGCCACCTGGGAGTGGGTCATCGGCTTCACGCACAGAAACTGGATCACCTGTCGGAGAGAGGCGGGGCGGGAGGGGTCAGTGTCAGACACGGCCAGAGCGATCACTGGCAATCGTTCGTTACTAAGGGAGGCAGACTGTGAGTAGCGCACACAGCAGATAACAGCAGCAACACAAAAATAACTATAGATGAAAATATTACAGCAATATTTTGATACAGAGCTTAGATGTCAGCCACCTATTCCATGAAAACCACACGGCGCACCGCTCTTTCACTTTCCATGCTCAGCAGTAACACAGCCGCTCTTCGCCCCCCCCCCCTCCCCCATATCAAAACCATCAGTTGCCGCGCCGCTCGTACCTCATTCTCCAGACACTGCTCCTTGGTGACCTGTCCGACGCCCGGGTGGTAGCGCTCGGCGAACACGTGCAGCAGGAGCAGCAGCAGGTCGGCCATGTTGCTGTCCATGTGCTCACGCCGCTCGCCCTCCGGGTCGTCCTCCGGCTGAAGGAGGGGTAGAGGAGGAGGCCGGATACCTGGCCGTTACTATCAAGACACCCAATATTTGTGACAACGATCCTAATGTCTTAAAAAAAACTTCCGAATCGGTCTCTGTTTAAAAAAAGTTAGCAGTTACTTAACAAAAATTCTTCCACCAGAGGCGATTCAAATCGTCACCGTATTCCTGTAACTCCTTACCTTCTCTACGAGTACTACCTATCCCTTCCCGAATTGCATTCTCCACCCCATAGCATTTCTCTTTCAATACCAGTATCCACATTATTCCCAACTAGTACGCCTTACGCCAGCCCAGCATAAGCTCGACCCTTCTTCCATCATGTCTCCTTACCACTGCACCAGTGTCTCGCCATGCTCCCCCGCCGTGTCTCAGTGTCTCACCAGTGTCTCGCCGTGCTCCCCTGACAGTCTTCCGTCCCCCACCATGTCTCAGTGTCTCACCAGTGCCTCGCCGTGCTCGCCCGCCAGTGTCCCGTCCTCTGCCATGTCTCAGTGCCTCACCACTCACCACTGCCTCGCCGTGCTCGCCCGCCAGTGTCCCGTCCTCTGCCATGTCTCAGTGCCTCACCACTCACCACTGCCTCGCCGTGCTCGCCCGCCAGTGTCCCGTCCTCTGCCATGTCTCAGTGCCTCACCATGTCTCAGTGCCTCACCACTCACCAGTGCCTCGCCGTGCTCGCCAGCCAGCGTTCCGTCTGTGTCAGCCGCTCCGTGTCGGAACAGCAGCGTGGCTACGAACTCATCCGGGTCCATCAGAGACGCGCAAATCTGCGCCACCTGCGGACAAAGAAACGGGGAGATGTCAACGAGGGATGGTAGCAACTATCGCCGCAAGAGACATCATAAAAACGCCGTTATTTCAGTGTGATGTTTACTGTAATTTCATTGTATATTTACACACACTCTTATTCAGTTCTTGGCGAATTATTACGGTAGCATTGCTTGGTTGAGGAAATATTGGACTTCGATGAATCACTTCTAGTGAGGTGTTTGCTCTAGGGTGGATGAACCTTCGCAAAGTCCATCGTGATTACCTTCCTCGTGCAAATTTAACTAGGACATATTTGTGGAACTTATTAATTACCCTCGTTCATATCACGATAAAACGAAAGTTTTGTTGCCGTGAAAAGCCGCAGCTTTCACAAGCGTGTCGGCACCGCCCACCGATCTGATAAGCCAGTCGGTCGGAGGGCCGGTCGTGTGTTGCCCAACCCTCCCCCGAGCCTGCGTACGCACAAACACCCTGTGTTGCGCAACCAGCCGAGCCTTTCACAAGCACCGACGCTAGCGAGCCCGACAGTCCCAACGCAAGCCTCAACCCGCCCGGTTCTCTCCTTCCGCGCCTCTGCGACAATGGTGGCAGCAGCGGGCGAGGGGACCTGTGCCCTCGCTGCGGACCCCGGCCTCTGCATCCGCAGTAACATCGCAGGCTGCTCGGTCCGTGCTCTGTGACGGTGCGTCCGGTGCGTCGATCCTACGTCACGTCATCGACTCGGAAGCTGATCATCCTAGACTCATCGTCCAGCAGCACCGTCTCCGGTGAGCAGCTCTGCCCGGCAATATCATCTGCCCTGCGGCAACCAACGCTATCAGCTGCACTGGACTTCTAAGGAGCCCGCCGACAGCGCACGGCTCGTCAGCTGTCCTCAACATCATCGAGTGATGAACACCACCTCGTCAACGAGTTCAAGACCGAAGAAGAGAAGACAAAAAGCGGTGGCTGAGGTAGCGACCCTTTTCTCTTCACCGTTTTCTTCCACCACAAATCTGTGCCATCGATTCTTGTGACAGTGACTCCTGTGATCTTTGCTTGGATTACTCGGTAGTAAATTGGGTCACCCTTGCACAACATCAAGGCATTCTGTACCACCCTTCTAAGTTCTTCGCCAAACCTATAGAAAATCAGCCAGGAGAGGACGCTGCCTATGATTGTATCCGCCAACAAAATGGCACTAGAGGACGGAGTCAGGACACATGCCATTGTCCAGAGACGCAACCATGCGAAGGAGATGAATTCTTTTGCAAAAGAGTCGCGTCGTGTGATGATAACTCCTCGTGCTATTGCACTACTCGCTTCATCACACTTACAGTTTGTTTTACCTACTATTTTCTGTTATAATGAAGGATCACTATCTTTTACTTTAGTAGCAACCGATGATCATATTTCATCTGGTTCAGTTGACATTCCTAGCTCAACACATTGCTCTCGTATTTCTTGCACCTTCTGTGCCGAAATGTTGTCAAACTTGTCGTGTGTTCCTTCTAGTTTCCAATATGTAGTATATGGCTTCCTCATTTCGACAAGTTCTGCAAAATCACCGCCCCAATATCCTTTCCCGTGCCGTCCATAATCATCATCTTTTCGTTATCACTGACGGCATCCTGGAATCCGAGCTATTGCAGAGCGCCCCTCTCGCCATCCATCTTCAATTTAATGATATGCGCTCTCCGTCTCCACATCCAAAATCTATCCTAGAATAGATTTTAGATGCCCCTATATTGAACCTAATCCAACGCAATGAAACCTGTGTCCAACACACAGCTCTTATGCATTCCCGTGGTCTTTTCGACTCTTTGTCTATGACCACATAATCCCTTAGCACTCCGATAAAATAATACCTAATTTGGCTTAAAGCCATTTATTGCCTGGAAATTTCACCCTTTCATTCATCGTGACACTTTTAATGACTTTTTAAACGTTGAACTTTTCGATATTCCCCGGTTTCATGTTTCGCTTCCGCCAGGCTCATCAAGCCTGATAGTGATTACATATTGTATGTACGCTTCAGTGCTCCTGTGCCACGCCTGGCCAGCGCCCACTATCTGCAGCAACCCGAAAAGAACTTACAAACAACAATGTAAGCGGAAGCGCAACATGGTGAGGCCAAACATTTTCTTTGGCCCCAAGCATCGCAGTTGCAGTGACAATGCACATTGCACATCTCTATTTTATCACATTATGTTCATTGTTTTATCACATGATGCCTATTATATATGGCGATGGACAGACAGAATTACGAAGATGAGTGAAATGTGTACCCTAAATAGTCTATCTACTATGCAATTGTTGTATGTGTTGTTGTATGTAATTGAATTGCTCGTCACCATTGATAATGATACTAGTATAAGTCAGATGTATGTAATTGAACTATTTTTCACTATTGCTAATCATATTAGTAGAAGTCGAACGTAGGCCTTACCACTTCTCCCAAAACTCCTCTTAGATCTTATAAACGCCGTGGAATGGATATGGCAGCACTGGCTGAAGTTCAGCTGCAGAAAACGGCTATCAATTGTAAAATGGTTTTCACGCATTTCAGTCCATCGTCTGTCGACGGTCTAAAGAGCCATTTCGTTGACTCGGATAACCCTTTGCCAGCACTGGTATCACTTCAAATGTTACCAAATGCCGTGAATAGAATAGTACGGCATTTTATAAGATTGGGCCCTTGGCCCAATTTGAGCCACAAGGGCCCAATTTGAGCCACAATTTGAGATTGTCACCCACTTCGCACAACGATGCGTCAGTTATGGTCACAGGGTTCCTTCTTCGGGTCTTCACCTCTGGAAAAAGGGCCCAGTCCAGCCGCGAGACCTGCACTGGTCGAAATCAGTCTGTTCCTGCAGTAGAGAGGATGCCCCTATTGGTTCTCCAGCCAGACCGAGCAGCAGCCTTCTGACACCGACGCCGTCTACACACCCGCCTCATCAACACGGCACGGTGTACCGGTGGACCGAACTCTCTGCGCCACGCCACAACACCCGTGGCAGCGCCCTCCTGCTGGGATCCGGCTACAACAGCACCTGACGTCGCCGTCACCTCTCTGGTGACCTCATCAACACAATCTCCGGCGATATCAGGTCCCAGCCGGCCGCCGCTGTGGTCCAGCACCACTCGCTGACCACTCCAGAGGCGCACCTGCGGTCCATCTACGGCGTCCCAGACGACTGTTCAGCTGCTGCTCACCATGTTCCTGGCGAACCGATGGGATTTCCACCTGCCGCAGCTACCAGTGTCGACCTTCAGCAACGCATACCTGTGCACCATACTCTCATATCTTGTTGAGAGTGTTCGGTGACACCTCTTATTGTCGGCTCAAGGGGAGGGGGAGATAATGTTGCTTATCCTTATCCCGTCTTTCTATCCGTAATCATAAAGACCTTTACAGATCACACTTTTTTCCTTGCACCATCCTATTCTATATGCTGGTCGTGCAGCAGATCGGACGGCCTGGTCGACACGCCTGAGTGCAGAATGCTAATTGTGTATGTGTAGCGCCCCTAAAGCGCACTGCCGGCCGTACTTGGTGTTGGAACTATCCTTCTGTGTAATAAACTGTAAATGTACAACCGTAGAAATGTAAACTGTAACTTTTAAGTGTATGTATGGATATACAACCATGTGTCCGATGTAAATACAGACAATGCTTCTCAAGACGTCTCTGGGCTGTGAAGAGCCCGACCGAAGCCCCGCTCTGACAGATTCACCTAAAACAACGCACTCCACCACGTCCTTCCCACCATCAGCCTTCCTCCTCCGTCCCACCGTGGGACGGTGTGTGGACTCCTCACCTGAAGATCTCTGTCGCGCATATCAGCCACCTGGACGGGCAGCGAGTACCAGCTGCACATGATCTCCAGCCAGCGGCCATTCCGCCGCCACAGGCCAGACTGCACCTGGGGGTTACACGAGACGTCACGGTCAGACACACGTTACTGCGCTGACGTGAGAGACACGCCCACGTCACTGCTGATGTCAAACACTGACACGCTCGCATATTGGGCTGGTGTCAGACAAGCTAGATACTGATGTCAGGCGCTCCTAGTTGATGACATTACTGAAGCTGACACGTCAGATGAGAGACCACTCGCCCTAGGTCGCAGGGGAGGGACAGAGTACACAGTTACAGACCTGGACATCGACGACCAACGACCGGTGAGGCCAGGTCAGGGTCTTAGTTTTCTGAGTACCCAGTTTCGTACCTGGGCATCGACCACCAGCGCCCGGAGAGGCCGCTCCAGCATCTGGGCTGGAGTGACGCGGTCCTCCAGTGAGGCAAACTCGCTGCTGTTGTAACTCAGTCCGTGAGCCGCTGGCAACGAGAGGTAGGAAACGGGTGAGTGCTCACGGAATAATGGGAACAGATCAGCAGCGGTGTTATAATAAACATTAGCGTAAGACCAGGGGCGATTCACATGTCAAAGGTAGCTAAAAGAAGCTAAATGCCGTTTTACAAGATTCATGGGATTTACTCCTGGCTTATGGGGCATCATACAGCTTTGTAAGGCTGCGCCAAAACCGTAAAATACGAATACATTCATATCCACCAGATCATCCTGATAGCCATCATATTTCGTAGGTAGCCCGTTAAACTTCCATTCTTCCAACTGCCAGCCCACGGGCGCTGACTTCTGTTTGCAATTAAGGCGCCTCCAGACTCAACTCATCAGCTATGTACACCCCTTCTGCGATCCCCTGTCTGCGAGTTCCACTCACCCAAGTGAAGATGAAGTCCGGCGAGAAGCCTCGAAAGCGGCAACTCCAGACTGACGGGCATTGTCATCACAGACAGAGGGCTGACGCTGAGCCGGCGCCCAAACCGCAGCACCTCGCACCGCTGGAAGTACTTGTCCGGCGGCAGGCGAGAGTGCAGCTTCGAGAGCACGGCACTGTCGAACAGAGAGAGTATTTGTTAGGATCGACTGGTCGACCAAGTCTAGACTTGTAGGGTGTAGTTTGTGTTAGGCGGTGGGACGGACGGATACGTCATGCGGAAGTGATGCCGAATGATAGGGTGACGATTTATCCAAACGCTGCCGCCAAGATGACGGAACACAAATAAACAGGGTCACGAGTGAATGAGAGGCGAGAGTGAACATGTCACCACTGCATATAGGACAGGTAATCAATAAACAAACTGCATGTCGCTTATAGAGCAAGCAAAGCGGACGGCTCGCAGATGGGTGAGTGATCAGTGACTTTTCCAATGGTGATGAAGCACGTACACGTCATGGCCATATTAGAGTTATGTTTCAGCTTTAAAACTTTTCATTACCGTGCAAGTTCTAAACAACAAATCTAAACATATCCAACATCTGTCTACATCTGCACAATGCGCATTAATCTGATCAACAACCTAGCCGCACAAAGTTCAGACTCCATCATCCTTCCGAGGGAAGAATTCAAGAAACTACACAGCACACTCCCAAGTCCCGCGTGACATGAGTACATCCCTTCCCCTTCTACGCCCTCGCCTCTCCCATCACAGCCGCTCACCTGTACGCGTAGACGAGCAGTTGTCGGTCAGAGGCGCACCACTCGAGCACCTGATTGACTAGCGGCGCCAGACTGAACGACAGCGTCATCTGCAGCTCGTACTGCGGGTCGTACAGCACGTGGGCCGTCTGGGCGCGCACCACCGGCTCCATACCCTGGCGATGGGAGAGAAAAAAGCAAGTTAGTGGAACTCGAAGGCATGGCCGTAGGCCGAAGCTTAAAAAAAAAACTCGAGAAGCTTCAAATGGTTTAGCGATCCAGGAAAATCGACAACAAGCCTCGAGGTTTTGGTCAATCATTTTGACAACATTAGAACTGATATCAATAGGTTGCTAGTAAATGTTTGACTTGAGCGTCGGCACGTCGACATGTGTTCACACCATCCTTCGACTCCTTTATTCCGCTAGCCATTGGCTGATTTTACGTTGCCACTTTGACAAACGATTGCAGCACCCAATTAGGACGACAGACATGACTTACCTTACTGACCAGACTCTTACCACAATCTGCGAGCGTACAGGACACCCCCGAGACTAACCTCACAGAAGTAGAGCAGCTCCAGCAGCATGTCGAGTCCGCGGCGCACTCCGGCGCGCAGTTTATCCGACTGAGTCGGCGGGACCACGCTGAGCAGGTACTTGGCGTCGGTCAGACAGCTGATGACACACTCGAACCGACGCCGGGCGGCCGAGTCGGAGGTCACCGGTCGGAGCACCAGCTGACCGCCTGTAGTGGTGGTGGAACGAGTGGGGGGTTAGTTGGATATGGGAGACCCGACAAGCCAGAGGGGGAGGTAGGTGTTTTGCGTTGACTCAAGATGTAAAGATTCGAAAATGTTGCCTCTACCTTGTGCGTATCTGACACAGTCCATCATTGATAGTCAACTAGAGGTGGCCATCACCTGCGCCAAGGGCACGAAAAACAACGGCTTTCCTCACATCAGTCTGAAAACTACCAACCATGCCTCCCCTCCGGCCATTCCTCAAGCAGTCCCACCGGCCGTAAGGTCATGCTCGTACGTTCTATTCTCGTTACGTTCGTGTGTAGATCTCATACGATATGTGCGCGTATCGCAAGCCCGTACCGTGTGTATGCGTGCGGAGTTCATCCACCAGCGTCCCGATCACGACGGCCAGGGCGTCTTGCTCTGCCATGAGGTGGTGTGCGATCGAGGGCACCGTGTAGATCTGCACAGACAGGTCCTGCACGGTGATCTGGTCCTGCATGCTGCTCGGCAGGGACGCTAGTGTCTGCTCCCGATACCGGGCCGTGAACATCTGTCGACATGGGCAGTAGAACACAGTGGTTAGTGATCCTGTACAGTACTGCATGGTGCTCGGCAGGGACGCCAGTGTCTGCTCCCGGTACCGGGCCGTGAACATCTGTCGACATGGGCAGTAGAACAGAATGGGGGTTAGTAGAGAATAAACGACGGCAGAGGGCATAACACGTGGGGCTCCGAGTCTCCCCTTTTACGACTTTTGACCTAACGCACGAAGGGAAGGCATAAGCTCGTGACAAGTATGAGCAAACTTACGATTTAACGTACTTATACACGTAGTTCATATAAGTGGCGTGCAGTTAATAAAAATTGGTCCATATAGTCTAAATGGAAAATGGAGTTCGTTCCATCACATAAAGCCTCCTCGAGCTGTGTTTTTTAACATAAAGGCAGGGATTTCTCTCGAGTTATTGAACATTAAATTACCAGGGACATGCAAACGTCATAACAGTTGCAGCCAGCCCTATTGATTTGGCGAAGCCGGCTTTAATACCACGCCCACGTCAAATCAGTAATTCTAAACTTCTCACAGATTACAGCTGAATGGAAAATCCCCTACGAACATTTGGTCACTGACACCGGACGTTTTTCAACAGTTGCACGACAGGTGCAATTGTAAATGTCAACTAAACAGCTGGATTTACGGGAAGTGAAGCAGATGTAATTCACTTCCGGTAAAATGAAAACACTCGCTTCTTTATGAAAAATTAAAGGGATGGAATTGTGTCAGGTGAAATTTCCGTGCCTTTGATATGTGAAGCTTTTAACTGTTTTGATAAACGATGCGAAATTAAGTCACGTCTGCGTTAGTCGTCGTCCCACAAAAGAATAGTTAATCGACGATGATGTCTTTGACTCACACCATTTTCATTAGTGCGTCTTTACGACTTCCCTCATAACGAAAGCCTAGAGGGGAGGTTATTCATATGCACACGAAAATTCGCACGTACTTTCACAGAAATGAATCGGCAAAGCTCAGGCTAGGCACTAGCGGGACCAGCAATCAATTTGTTATCCCGATAAATCACGCGTAAGAGTTACGTCGGGCAGCAGACACAAAGCAGACAGACCTCCCGACACTTAAGAAAAACTACTTTGCTCACCTGTGCAAAGTACTTTTTCGACTCCATGTCCATGAGCATTCCTTGTATGAGGAGCAGATGCGTCTCGTGCCTGGCCTGTTTCCACTGTCTGCCATCACAGGCCATCACTCGCTCCAGCATGGAAGGCATCAGCTCCGAGCCGCCGACAGTCTGAGGGAATACACAGACAACCCGGGGAGTTACGGGAAGAACAGACACATGGGAAGAGGCGGGAAGGGCATCAGCTCGGATAGTCTGACAAAACAAAGATGAAATGTGGGAAAGGTAGGTCAGACATATGAGGGCGGACACATATGGCCAGTCGATAGGAATGGGGTTATAGGGAGGTGAGTCGAAACACAGTGATACCAGCACTGACAGCGGAACTGCGCAGTCAGCAGGTGGCCTAGCTGTCTGGCAAAAAGTTAAAAAAGATTACGATAGTTCTGAAATAAATACAAAACCGTGCTCAGTGGAACAAGAACAATTGAAATTTCCGAACATTCTCTGGCATTTCATCATTCCTAGTCACTCTAAATTCCTCACACATTTGATCACAAACTTCTCTATAAATAGAGAAGTCTGTGGTTTGATCAATCAAACCACTCAGAATCCCCGTTACCGACCTGCTGCATGACCGTATTAAACAGAGGCCGCAGTGTGGGCCGGCGCTCCAGCATCTCCCGCAGGTGGCGGACTAGGCGCAGCGTGAACAGCTGGTGCGCCGCCACGTGCGCGTGAACCACGTGCAGCTCGGCACGGCGCAACTTGCGCGACTGTTCCGGCTTCAGACGCTTCAGCAGCTCGTCACAACCCTGGCCGGAGAAAGGGTGGCGGGAGCGACTGCGTCATCGTTCTGAGGTGTAAAGGCCATTGGTAGATTCACGAGAGAATGAGCGGTGGCATGTTAGCGAGGAGCACGAACACGCTATTGTTGGGACTTGGGAGATGACACTTCTGAGGATTCTTCCGTGCTATGTGGCAGCCAACAAAATGCTCTGGGCCCTGAGTGACGTCAAACTCCGAGAGAAAAATGAAAAAGACAGACGTCGTTAGATATAATCTGAGGTAGAGCCAGGGATAGTAGAAGCCACATTATAACATATCCTCGCTAGCTACCAGGCGAAACAACCGATAATTATATAACGATAGGTTGCCATAACTACACAATACGCAAACGCCCCCCCCCCCCCCCGACCATTCACGTGATTCACACCTCTCCCCCTCCCCCACATCTACTAACCGTGATATCATTATAGAGCAGTATGGCGGCGCCCTCCTTTTTCAGGGCGGTGGCCGCTGCCCTGGCCTCCTCCTGCGAGCAGGGCGTCACCTGAGCCACCGTATCAGCCACCTTGTCCGTGGCCGTGACGCCGAAGTTGTAAGCCATGGTGGCGTAGCGCTGGTTGCGTGCAGGGTAGTGCTCTCGACCCAGGTCCAGCTCGAGCGGAACGATCTTGAGCGTGCTGGCGTCCCGGTCGAACACGCTCAGCATGTACTGCATAGCTGGAGGACGGAGGGGGAATGGTGGGGTGGGAGGGGTGTTAAATGACGGGGGGCCAGGGAGCCCTTGTGACGGAAAAGCAGCTACTTTGATGTCAAGACACCTGGCTTAAGCGGTATGTAGCGTAATAAAATAAATCAACTTGCTGTGATATACTCGATCATGATCTTCAGTCGTCCGCTGTAAAATGCCCTCGAAAAATGCCTTCGTATATCTCAATAAAATGATTCCAACTAAGAATCATCGGTGCTACCGTATTCATATTCCCATAAACTGGCAAGACTTACGACTCAGGATAACAACTAACAAGGATCACAACGGGGCTCCCCGCCACTGTGCGGTTTCAGCCCTACCAAAAATCATTTGCTGACTCTCCTCTCGAACCACCACCTCCCTCCGGTGTGTCACCCACCAGCACTGAAGAGCACGGACGCCTTGCCGGCCTGCTCCGGGGATGCCTCTGTGGGCCGCTGCTCCGGAGGCGGCGGTTTATGCGAGGAACACGTCGGGTCGCCCTTCCACGCCTCAAAGTCGCCGCAGTCGCAGAAACCGCCGTTACCCTGAGAGACGCACATCTGATACCTGAGGGGGCGCGGTGGGGTCAGAGTCGGTATGAGGCTACTGAGACACGCTGGACTGCAAAATGGGCTCGATTTGGATTTCAAGGAGTCTCAAATTCAGCGATCATCGGCGTCTGAGCTTGATAATGGTTATTCGATATGCCTGGACTGGCGAAAATAACCTCTTCTGCCAGTAATTGTTGGAAATGTGAGCTCACGACGAAGCACGACAAAAAACACAGCACTTTGCTGCAGGAGGGTTTCCAATCGATCAATGGTGCAATGCAAGGAATACCAAACAGTGTGTACCGCGGAGCAAAGAGGATGAGAGGATCAATACCAACCGTGTCGTAAGTGAGCCTGAATTGATAATAAATTGTCTTTATTGCTGGACAGCTAGTTCTTCCAATCTGATTTATTGATGCCACTGGTGTAAGATTGATAAATCAATTGGCACTAAATAGCCAGAAAAAATAAAAAGCGGATTCTGCATAACAATTCTTTACCCTCAGCTAGTTCACACCACGGCTGGTCGTCGGATGACGGGCCTTCAGACCTGTGGCATAGGTATGTGAGCTAACCCCATCTACCTGTCACATCCGTGGTATCCCTGACCCCATCTTGACTTACCCATGGTATCTGTGCAGTGTGTACGCATGGCATCTGTGACGGACCTACCTATGGTATCTGTGGACCGACTGTCGGAAGCACTCGGTGCACAGCACACAGGTGGGGTCCTGCGCGCAGTCGCGGCAGCTGTACGTGGGGTCGCCGTTGTTGAACACCTTGCCACAGACCTGCGACGGCGGCGGGGCCGACTCCTGCACGAGACGCAGAGCAGGTCACAGGTCAGGTCACGAACGAGAACGAGATACACATAGGGGCATGGCAGAGCACGTCACAGGTCAGATGTGCAGGTTGGGTTAGAAGCACAGGTGGGATTGGCTAATTCGAGTCAGATGAGGTCGATTTTACCCGCCCCTTGCTGTGCGTTTGTCCATGTTAAAGTGATGCCTAATCTAGCTCAAAAGGACGTGTTGAGACAGAATCACCCCACTCAAGACATGATGGAGCTATCAACATAAGAACCTATCGGAAATCGTCATTGTCAGGATCGAATCTCCACCGAGTCTGAACACTGTCTCTAAGCCCAACAAAGGCCATATACTGGGAGCCGATCAGGTTTCAACGGGTGCTATCGCGACTGTGTACAGAGGTGATAGTGTCGCATCTGTCGTCGATGCCTGACCTTTGGGACCGCACTGCGCCACCGTAAACGTCATGAAACGGGGTTGTTTGAAACACTGAAGGCTAGCAGAAAATTATAAGTTCATCAGTCGAGCCTCCCCTTGACCTAATGACAGACTCGATCCAACAAATACAAGCGAAACAAACACCTACGTCTCCACATCCGCGCGACGTTTCTGCCCAGGACTGCTCTGTTTCTGAGCGAGACACTGACAAAGCACCCATGGCGGTATTCTGACTTTGCACTTTGATCGAATCAGCACTGGGTCATTGTACGAGTATGTTATCTGTGAAATCTAGGCAACCTATGACAACAACAACCATACTGATACGAGCAGGGTTATGTAAGCACAGACGAACGTGCAAACGCGTCACCGTTACGAATGCCTACAACGTCTATTTGAGACTCTTGACTACCCCCGTCAGGAGTCTCAAATATTGAACGCCGTAGGGCCTCGAACCAGGGCTCTCACTACCGGGAGCCCGAAGTTCTACCAACTGAGCTACGGGACAGGCATATCCCAACTTTGCTGAGATCAGCAAAGAAAACAATATTTCTTATGGAAGTTTTGAATCACATATATCAGTCGAGAATTCCAAATAATTTGACATTCCAGTTTTCTTGCGTCATATTCCCTCTCTCTCTGCCTCTCTCTCTCTGCCTCTCTCTCTGCCTCTCTCTCTCTCTCTCTCTCTCTCTCTCTGCCTCTCTCTCTCTCCCCCCTCTCTCTCTCTCTCTCTCTCTCTCTCTGTCTCTCTCTCTCTCTCTCTCTCTCTCTCTCTCTCTCTCTCTCTCTCTCTCTCTCTCTCTCTCTCTCTCTCTCCCTCTCTCCCTCTCCCTCTCTCCCTCTCCCTCTCCCTCCCTCACCTCTCCGTCGACGGCGTCATCTCCCAGTAGGAACCTGGACAGCGGCCGCAGCAGCAGGCGGTGACGCTGATCCTCGAACGCGGTCTGCTCCTCAACGGGAGCCGCCGGCGGGGGAACAGTGAGACGAGGCACCGACTCTTTCCAGAACTCCCTGAGGGTACAGAGGGGTCAGACGGGGTCACAGAGGTCGTTGGGTACCTATCGAACAGGTTTGTTGGGGTCCACATGGGGTCAGTTGTAGGCCATTAAATGTCGTTGGGACCTGGGGGAAGGGGGGGGAAGACAGGGTCGGTGAGCTCAGGCCTCAGGCACGTTCGGTGTGTGGGTCCCCGGTCCGACGGGGCCACACCACAGGAGTCGATCGGTGAGTGGGGATCAGATTTTGGGTCGGTAAGGTTAGACATGGTCAGGTTGGGGTTGGTTGGAACGGCTGATAAGGGAAGTAGAGGTTAAAGTGTATCGATCCATTGAACCCGGATCGATGTCAGCGATATCATACGGAAGTATGTTGGATCGGACGGAACCTGATACCGTCTGACGTAAGCACTCCGACTCTATGAACCAGTCGAGAAAACAAACAGATTTAACGGAACATCAGAGGCGGTAAATGTCCAGCTGCATCTCTGTTTGCCCCTACGCCCTACGGCATTACCCGCGGAGCGAGGTAAACCACGCTCAAGGACGTGCAACGCCAGCATCATCATTTAGCGTTACGTAAAGCCTTGATTCACAGAAATGACAACAGGAGATTCTTATTCATTCTGAGTTTGTACACGAGAATCTCTGCTAGTTAGCCCTTTCCCATCATCCTACATATGTCGAACACGGAATGGCGAAAAACAGACACATCTCGTAAAATAAGTTGATATGGCCGTTGAAACAAAAATCCAGGTCATGATATCAGCCCGCTCCGCCCCACTGCATTCTGCAATGCGATCCGTTCATAGCCGCCCATAGCATGCGGGTCTGTCTATAACATACTGCCAGCTGCCAGCGACAACTGCCAGCGACATTCCCAGAACAAAACCCATCTTACGTCGTCCCCTTCCACCCCACCGCTCTCTGCAACGGCAGCGATGGTCCTTCTGCAGCGCCAGCGGCGCGGCGGCGAGCGTGCCCACTGGGGCTGCCGCTGGCACAGGGCTCCGTTCCGCAGCTCAGGAGCCGGCCGTGCCAAACGCGCAGTTCGCTGCCATCGTCGGCGGGTTTTGTGGGCGCTCAGAGCCAGGTGTTGTTATCTGGGGACGCTGCTGTCTGAAGAGCGGAAACAGATAGAGCTCTGCTGGTGCGTCGAAGATGCAGCGCGAGTTGATCTACGATGAAGCGCGAATTTGTCGATCATTTAGTGCGAATTTACAAAGGTCGTGGTGGTCGTGGTATTGGATGGCTGGTAACTAGCAGCGATGGAACTTCGGCTGACATTGTTCATGTAAACAAAGAATGAATTAGCAACACCGATTAAGGTTGTAACAAAACATTGTGGCAATCTCGTGCTATGTAGCAACATATAAACCAGCAACAGCCTGCCTGTTCACTACCCCTTTATAAATTAAATCGCCGGCAGAATTGTGCGGGTATAGGAAATTCAGCCCTATTTTAGATACGAATGGGAGGCAAAGCCATACAAATTGTGTTTGTAATTCAACTTCGCCACTTGCAAGGACTAGACGTTGGCTTCCATAAGTTTGGTAAGAGTTGCCTTTCCACACCCGAGAGAAATGCCTTCCAAACTCGACCGGAACATGACCTTTGCAGACTGAATAGTACAGGAGATAACTTGAATAATACATAATCGCTTTCAGGGTGTACGAACATCATGACTGACTTAAAACCGTTTCTTGGACCGTGGGCTACGTAATAACTTTCCACTGCCGGAAAAAAAACGTGCGAGTTCAGAGTTGTCCCTCATGCTAAGAAAAGTCTAAAACAGCATCGGGAGGGGTGTCGCAAGGCAAAGCCGAAACTATTCAAAGTTTTGCATTCTAGGTAAAAGCATGACACAAGAAGACAATGAGAACAAATCGAGATAGAAAAATGGAATCTCATGTATCAACAAAATGCGGCTTGCTTGCTGATTATCGCACGTTATCAGTCACAGATAGAACTCCACCAATCGCCACTAGTGAGTAGCGACAGAATACCATGACGTGATGCTCCTAGCCAAAACACGTGCACACCAGTATACTCGTGACGTCAAATGGGTTAAAGGAAACTGGCGCCTCCTGGAACTCCTGCCCATTTAAAGGGACTATCCCACCTTCTAAAATGTTGTCAAAACCAGTTAAATTGTGCCCGACTTTATAGATTGGATGACCAGGAACACGGTTCTGGCATTTATTTTTCATTAAACATCTTAGGCTTCACATATTCCAAACACAAACTTTCAAATATGTGACGTCACAGCCCTAAATTACCTCCTTCCCCAGGCCACATTACTGTCATAAAGCTGATTATTTTTACTCTGTAGGCACCACAACAAAGTTCAGACCAAGTTTTAAGCGATTTTTCAACGAACAAACCCATTTAAATCAGAATGACTAAACGAGGTGACGTCACACTAACGGTCGCTCCATGTTGAAGATAGGGCCTTGTACAAGGCCCATTTTCAAATGAAGGGAACGAATTTCTTCAACACCAAGAGGCCGCGGGGGTTGCAACCTAGATAGATAGTGGTTTCTGAACCTCGCCGCAAACTTGGCTATCTCAACTCAAACCCCATGTTAAAGGTGGGATAGTCCCTTTAAAGGGAGATAATGACCTTTTTCCACAAAATCTGAGTTAGGATCATTTTCTGACAAAACACAACAAGTTATAATGTAAATTAAAACCATTTTGCTCAATGCGGTACCTTGCCGCAAATATCTCAACTTGAAGTCACGTTAGCGGGGAGCGCTGAAAATGACCGTTGAATAAGTACTTACATCACTTTTTGGTACTTGCATGTAATTTTGTAAAATGAGCGTATTCCTTACATTTGATCTTCATCACATCTAGTTAGTTAATGGTCGTCTATAGTGCCTTCAAAAGATATTCATGGTTTGGGGGTGGTTTATGTCTAAATTTACGCAACTATTTTTCCTGTTCATCATCTGAGGCCATATGCTGCTATTTTAGTAGCAACGACTCAATTTTGAATCGGTCCCGCCGACTGCACAATAAAAGAAGATAGATACAACACTTTTGCGGCATCACTGAAAAACTTATGCAGTACTGTTATCAAAATTCTCATAACACCGTTCGACAAACCTGAAGTCTTTTTGAAATAAATATGCTTGTATTTTTCGCTTCAGGCTCTGAGGCCAAAATAATGAATTTCGTAGTCGCAATCGCAAGATTTGGCTGCGTTTCTGGCGCATGCCGTTCATTTGTGGCGCAAAATAATACTTGGAAACAAAGAAGAGTAGGCACTATGTACGAATCTAATTAATTCTAAACCGAATTAACTCTAATTCAAATTAGAATCCTTACAACCAAGCAACGACAAGGCGATAACATAAACAAAAACCCAAGCGTCGCTGTTTGAAACAAAAGCGCCATATACTGCGACTTTTTTATAGAGAAGGACAAGAAGGACAACGCATTTCGGTGGGTGTTACAAGTACTGCAAGTACTGCTTCTTTTTTGCAAAAATAAAAACCTTTTTCACATACGAAAATGTGCTAGGAAATTTTCATATTTTATAGAAACTACAGTAGAAATAGTATAGATGTCGAGTAATTTTTATTAAAGAAAAAAGAAAGCTCATTATCTCCCTTTAAGGATAAATTATAATCCAAGGCTGTCACAACCGGGCGGTTTTATAGGATTCAGGTGCACGGTACGCTTGTTAGTCACTCTCGCATATGTTCTCATTCCCCGATTTTATTCGAAGAGCAACGCTATTTTTGGCCTAACTAGCTATCGATTCTGACGAATATTTTCAGATATGGTTGGCCAGGTAACAACTAGGTAACAGATCAGTGTCTTTTCTTGTCTGCTCAACGCTTGATCTGCCTTAGTTAGACTGAGTGAAAGAGCGATGACGACAACGAAAGTGCATTACCGGCATCTGCGATGCCGGGCTCCGCATCGCGGGACCGCAGGTTGTTTGAGCAAGCACCTTTGTAAACGCAGCAAAAACGCCCGCCACCAAACGAGAGGATGAGCCTTGCACGTGCAGACCGGAGTCGGTGTGCTACGGACTGACGTGCACGGCACCCTATTCGCCGGTCTATAGCGGTGTGCCAAATTTGAGTGCAATCGACCCGGCCGTTTTCGAGATCTGGAAGCGACACCCTGCACGTGCGCACGTGCAGCCTAGGCCCCAATTGACTTGTGCACGGCACTCTATTCGCCGGTTTCTAGCGATGTACCAAATTTAATCTGAATCGGCCCAGCCGTTTCCAAGATCGGGAAACGACCCCTACACGTGCGCACGTGCAGCTGCACCCCAACCGCGGCACATGAAAATACATACTTACCTTGTGCACGGCACCCTACTAACCAGTCTCTAGTGGTATGCCAAATTTGAGCACAGTCGGCCCGGCCGTTCTTGAGATATGGAAGCGTCAGCCTGCACGTGCGCACGTGCAAACTGGGTCCCATCTGACTTTAGCACGGCACCCTACTTACCAGCCTCTAGCGGTGTGCCAACTTTGATCACAATCGGCCCAGCCGTTCTCGAGATCTGGAAGCGTCACCCTGCCCGTGTGCACGTGCAGCGGCACCCCAACCGTGACACATGGAAATGCATTGCGCGGCAGGTGCCTACAACCATGCCAAGTATCAGTGCAATCGGCAAACTAACTACAGAGTTATTAGACTTGTAACCGAACTGACACCTCTTCGTTTTGCACGTGGCACGTGCATTAGGGGTCACCCATACGCATCGAGAATAGCACAATACGTGTCAGAAAGGGAGGAGCTGTCCCACACAAAAGACCGCGAGTGAATCGGTCCAGTGGTTGCAGAGATATAAGGTTTCTAAAGGCACCCCACAGGCGGCCGAATGCTAATATTTAGCAATAATCAGTGTCGCATCCGCACACGGGAGGTATCCCCGTCACCTGTTCGTATACTCTAATGTGGTTGGGTTCAAGTCACAGTCGAGCCCTGATTTTTTACAGCTTTTCTTAAAAACGGCACATCGTGCAGTGACGTCCTAGGCATCAGTGGAAAGAGCATCAAAAGTTGTATATTATATTAACTTTTCACCTATATATCTTACTAAAGATAAAAGTTATAGAGGAATAAAGACGCTCCCATTGACTTTCCATGTTAAAAATTTTAATTTTCAAATGAACTTTATAAGAAAAAATGAGTTTTGCCAGCTTAACGAAGCATAACGGCATGTACTATGCTCTTTCCTTTACAAGATATAAGAGTTTGGGCGAAATCTATCTCTAAAATTTTGTACAAAGATCGAATGAAAATGTCTCTGCAAAGTCTCGACATCGCCGTCCATTGACTTAACATGGGACACAGCAAAATTCCAACTTTGACCTCGTGCAAAGACACGTTCCGAGATTCTGAGGGGTATACAGCGCACACTGGCGTGTACCCAAACGTGTTTGCCATAAAATGCTGGGAAGAAAACCACCTCTTCCTTGGCTCGTTTTCCCGCTATTGGCGATCGCGCAAAAAGTGTCCAAAACCCCGTTCACTTAACACGGGGAAAATGGAATCGCACGTGCCACGTGCCACGAGGTTTTAAGCGAGTAGCGACCGATGCCATAAGGTAGATCGCCTCCGGGAGCCTATACACTGAACTTTTTACGAAGATTGTACATTTCGTCTAGGCCCCAATCAAGATGTCTCGATTCGCTGCCAGACTTGCAAAACATAGCCCGGAGAACGACCGCTCCGGTTGTTTTTCAATAGAAAAACACAATTCTAACGAATAGTGTTTGTCTTTTCAAACAACCTGCGGTTAAAATACGTCGGCAATGCTATGCAGGCTGACAATCGATCAAAACCAAAGCTACCTTCAAATCCCGTCCCTTGCTTTCCCTAGTCTTGCTACCTTACCAATGGCGGTGCAAGCTGTTCATGTCACAATTAGAATGGGAAGACCGAGATATTTCAGTGGACACTGCAGCTATGCGCGGTGATTAGAGGTGTTACAGAACACTGCAGAGACCAGAGCCACGCGCGGCATTTCAGATGACGGACGCTGAAAGGCATATGAAGGACATAAAAAGGTAGATGGCAATTACTTTAAGTCAGATGACGGACACGTAAGGGTAGACGACGGACGCTACAGCTGGCGGTCATCTACGACCAAAGTCGAGCCACGGATTGGGTGCTTTGGTGACTCGCTTCCAAGGTAATTAAACATGACTCTCAGCCACCTACTCGGAACATGCTCCATTGCTCTACCACCGACCTTTGCCCACTTAAACTGGTGATGTCACAGATGCTATCAACGAGGGTATTTCCTTACAACCCTACATCACCAATGGCCCACCACAAGGAGCCCACAGGAAGCCGTCTCGACATCCACTTCTCATATTAGAACCTACAGAATCACAGAAAGCTGGGGCACCACCTAGGGCAACCACATAAGGACACAATTCGAGATGAGTACTCACCGAATCAGCTCAGTGGTGAGCGCCTGCCGCTCGAACAGCTGGGCCCACTCCTGCACGGGCGTGGCTAGGTAGTCAGCCTCCGCCATGGCCGGACGAATCACGAATGGCTCACGGCCCACTCACAGTCCACTCACGGCCCACTCACGGACCACTCAGGGTCGAATCACGGTAAATTCACGACACATTCACGACCAGTTTATGACGGACTTGCGACCGCTCCCGTCCAGCTCAAGGCCGAGCAGACCTCAGGGTAGCCTTGCTGCCTGCAAAACACCAGAACATACAGTCACCACTCGGGAAAAACACAGCGTTGCAACATATCCAAATGCCGGCCACAAAACATTGACTTGTGACGCACCACGCTCATACCAGGCCCTGGCATAAACAGTTCTTGTTGCAATCCGCACGAGACCAAACACTTTCATCTTTCGTCTGTCTATCCATCTGTCTCGGTCTTCCTTGACCTCACCCCACGCCGCCGCGGGTCCGCCCGATCGGCCGGTCGGCTGTCCCCCGACCCTCCCACCTCACGCGGAGGCCGACCGGCACCGACTGCCGACCGGCCGAGCGGGCCACTCTCACGGCGGTCGGTCGGCGCTGGCCGGTGCCATACCAGCGGTCACGGCCAGCGGACCGGCGCCCGGTGACACACCTGTACACGAAACCGTGAACAGACGGACGGACAGAGAGAGAGAGAGGGGGAGACAGACGGGGTGGAAACCGGCTGGCACCGGGGCCGGGCAGCGCCGATAGGGAAGGATGCGATCGGCGCCGGTCGGGATGGCGTGGGATGGGTCAGTGGGATGGGACGGAATGGGAGACGCTTGGGATGATGGGAGACGTACCTAGTGGATCGGAACTCGTACGATGGGATAGAAAAGGATGACGTGGGGTGAGATATTGAGGGCAGACGCCAAACCGACGCTGTTACGACGCCTGACAAAACCTACAAGACCGGCACGCTGAATCCCCCCCCCCGTGGAGAGGAGTGCAGTGCGTCACGTGGTTTCAGTCAGCTGATCGGCGAGGTCGGCGCCAGCTCGGTCCGCTCCAATCAATAGAGCACAGCTGCCAACTGCGGATGGGAGCGGCGCGAGGCTGCACCAAGGCCATGTTGACGCCACGGTTGGGGTCAACGAAACACGGCAATCAGCCAAATAGGACGCGGGGTTGGGATGACGGCGTCCAACAAATGGCAGGCGAGGCGAACCGGTCACGGGGGCTGGCATCAGAGGTGCTTATCCATTGTTTTGAGAACCAGTATTATATTGTTTTGAGAACCAGTAATTAATGAGTTATATAATTTGCTTTTTTTGCTTTGTTCACTTACTTATGGCTGCTCTAAAGAGACGATTAACGAATCAGCCCCTGCTCTACATTGTGTAGCAAAGATCATTATTTTGTTACGGCATAGACAATGAGAGGTCCCGTCTCCTGCCTCATTGGCATATTTGCTTGGAACATACGGCTTGACAAATCGACCCCCTGTCAATTAGCAGCACATCGATTGTAGCATGCCTGATGTCGTGTTGCACTGCTGCATGGTTATAGGTACCGCACTGGATGAGTATTCCGTACCAAATGACCAATCGACCGCTACTTTCCTGGTTGTTCGACACTTTTTAACCACATAAGTCATCAGCTCACCCAGACCCATTGACCTTTGCATGCTGGTACACAGAGCTCTATGGCTCAACATAGCTATGAGGTAGAACTATCATAACTCCCGTCACCACCTTGGGGAGGAGGGGGGGGGGGGTGGAGGGGCTGTATTGTGGGGTTATCACTGATGAAGGGGCTGTATTGTAGGGCAGTCTCTACTGCTCAGACGGAAAGCAGTAGAGGGACGCGGAAGCAGGCCGGGAGCGGATGAAAAGCAGCAGGGAGTGGGAAGGCAGCCGCCGGAAACGGGAACCTCTCATGGGCAACCATCCCCACTCCCAGGGATCAGCCCTCGCAGTGGGGAGACGATACGCCGACAAACATCACGATCGCGGCTGCATGTTAGATTAGCTGAGTTCGAGTCACAGAAGAACCGCCGGACCGACCGGCCGTGAAACCGGTAGAGTCACGGCCGGCCACAAAGCCACCGTGGACGGCCGTGAACTCGAGTTAGGGTCACTGCAGTCGACCACTCCACTGCACACACTGCGAGGCATGTGTTAAGTCTCCTTTGTTTCCGACAAGTGCTCAGCTTAGAGTACTTAAGCCCTAAGCCCGCCAAGCACTACGGTACTTGACACAACAGCCAGGATTAGTGAAACTTATATCGCAGATCTAGTGCGATGGCAATAGACGGCTCGGCGTCACCAATTTTGCAGCTCCATCTACCTTAGACCCACTTCCAGTTACGTGAAATCACACTTCCTCTCTTCCTCCCAGGGCCAGCCTCTGTGTCCAGCCTCAGTCACTCTCCACAGTTTGGTTACGTCGCCGCGGGCCACAGCTGTGTCGTCAGCGTTGGCAGGTCCGTCGTCGCAGCGGTTGTTTATTTATAGCATCTGTCTCGTGCAGAGGACGCTCACCGTGCAGCCCAGTCATCGCCGGCAGCAAGGCGCCGCCGCATCAGCTGACTTTGCCGAGAAAATCAGCCGACCAGGCAGACTAAGTACAGCTAACAGTCAACACTGCCCTAAGGGAATCGGAACCTACACAAAACAATGCGGATAGGTTCTCATCTGACAAGTCAGCTGGAATCAGCTGACCACACAGCGGGAGCCAGCTAATCACACAGTAAGAATCAGTTGATCGCAAAGCGGGCGATGAGTTCGCCACGCTACCTTTAGCGCATCATTCATTGCTTATTATCGGGTGTTGGGTTCGAAATCCAGGTAACCACCACTAAAGTCGAAGTGGCCGAGAGGTCTATTGGGGGAAAAGTAGCGTTACATCAGCCCATGGCGAGTCCCGGTTAAGTGGACAAGCAGCTCACGAATATTGCCATTGCGAGAGCCAGCAGCGTGCTGGTTACGTAAGACAGCAATGAAAAGACCCGACGTGGACCAGGCGCTTGAGGCTGACGAAAAGTAAATAAATGTTCAGTAAATCACTCCGGGTAAATCACATCTGTTGGATGAAAGGGAATCTGGGCAAGAAGCATCTGCTTGAGAGGGTGGCGTATCGTCTAACGTAATTTGCAATGGCCCAAGCCGAGATCAATCAACGAAAAACGCAGACAATTGAGAAGAGAGCACAGCCTGCGCATCGTATAAGACGGGTGGTCAGCCAGTGATGACAACTGGAATTCACATCTTTCACTCGGGGAGGGTACTTGTTAGAGTAAAGCACTCTAATTTTAAGTGGTTCAACACCAATGGTGGGCGCTGGTGGTAATGCGAACAAACGCACTGTCCAGCTGGGAAATTAGCACGGACAGGACTTGATAAAGGCCATGGCTCCTTCATCACCACACCTTTCGCCGATGCCACCGTTCAATTCGACACTTGCTACACAATCTTAAAATCCGACGCCATAAATAACCATCAAATAATATGCAAAGTGACCGCGATGCGCGGGGAATAGAGCCAGGCACAACTGATAGGCTCACCATGCTCCTTCAACAGGAATTCAGTGGTCTGTAGGCATGCTCGATGGTCTGGGTGACGGGATAACAGTTCCTTAGCAGTCATGACCTAAATATAGCCCTTTTGGCAGAAACAAACATCTGAGAATAAGACTTGTCACTGAAATTGAGCATCTGAAGAACACTTGCCTCCTGCCATGGATGGTTGATGCCGCTGTGGATTCAGTGTTTGGCTAATGCCTCATTGATCTGAACTGAGCTAGAAATTGGCAAAATCCAGTCACTTTGCTTCTACTCTGCCATTTTGACAATTTCTAGATCACTTCAGACCAATGAGGCATTGCCAGCAGTGGCTTCAGGCCGGGCATTATCATTGAGTGAATGGGACAGAGAGCTTGGAAACAGAACTATGGATGCTGTGTTCACTTTGCTTTTCTTCCCATAATTAACTGACATGCTGCCTGGCCTGATGTCTACCAATTCTTCCCTGGACATAGATTCTGCCACAACTTTGGCCATGTGACTCATCTGTGATCTCCCTGTTTGTAAAGATATACCTTTCCATGGCTGTTTTAGCTTGCATGGCCATTCTTGAGTCTGGGTCAGGTGACAGGTCTCCTCTCACCAGTTAAGGCAGCATGATACCACTTGAGCTTAGTTCAGTTCACCAATTAAGGAGTTGTCAGCAATATTCAGGTGAAAATATGACAAAGTTGACAGCAGCTCCTTGCAGCATGGTCACTCAGTAGTCAGTGCAGATAAGTGCAGATTTTCCTTGGTGTGGTGTGCATTTATTGTGCACATAGATTTTGCATAGGGCTGTGCTACTGGCACTGGCCAACTTCTGTTCTGGTGGTACTGTTCTGAATTATTACTGGGGGTCGCGGTCACCTGACAGCTTACAACACACCTAATTAGAATGTCAAATAGGTAATGTAATGAACACCCAGTAAGGAATCAGGCTATGATGGCAGGATCAAACAATGATCCTGTTTTTATCTCCTTGCAAGGGACAATAAGCAAATGTATGTAGGTACCTACCCCAAAACCCTGGTCTAGGGAACTATACCACTTTCTTCAAATGAATTTTTGCTTCAGTCGTATGATTTTTTGCCTCAAATGATCAGAAAAGAAAATAATAACCATTAGGCAAAGGAATCTTAAAATATTTTCATACAGAAGAAGAATTTCCATCTTTAGTAGAGGCTAAATAGTGTTTGCAGTGGAAGCTTCTAACTCACATGTTGCATGGCTCAAAAGTCAAAACCAACAGCATGCTGATTGGGTGATGATTTGCCTGAGTGCCTCTGCCAGAAATGACTGCATTCTTTGCATTCTTCCATGAGGCACTACATTCTAACATAAGGGAATGATTCCCTTGTACCTTGTGGAGCTAAAATTGATATATCTTTGGCTAGGGTGATCATTGGAGTGTAAAAAGCTTAAAAATTGTGCTAGTCTCAGTTCAAGCTACAAAACTGCTATTCCATTTCAAAACCCCATGTTAAAAGTGGTATATTTTCATTAATGCTTTAGGTATTTCTGAAGGTCCTCACTGTTTTGAAGGGTAAATCCTGTTCCTTTCCATGCAGGCTGATACAGCACTGTCCTTGTGGCTGGTGGCTAAGCGACAGCCTGGCTTGTCAACTGCCCAGCCAAATTTTGCAGCTTGGTGTCATAGGGCATGCTGAGGTCCTGACAGCTGACTGGCCACGTCCTTTGTGTTAGTTTTGGTGTTTGGTGAATGTATGACATGGGAAGAATATAAGACAAATGGAGAGGGATACTTTGAAAGCAAAACATCAAGCACATCATTCATGGTCCTAGAATCAGCATACGTGGAGACATTTAAATGAAAATAAAAATATTTTTAATTTATCATTTCCGAGCACAGGCAACAGCTGCTAGCACAGCTTAGGCATAGCAATTTATATAATATGGTGGAAAGCAGGTACAGTTTCTCATAAGATCATTGCCAGTTATTCAAATACAGTCACCTTCAAAGGAAAAATGAAAGAATGAAATGATAAATTGAGCCGAATTAGAGTTTACCTACCTGGGTACTTACAAGCCCAATCGATTCACTTGACTTCAACTTCCGTTCGAGTGTGCTGCATAAATGAGGATGCACGATCAAACAGAACGAAGTAATCAGCTTGAAAGCCTGTAAATACAACAGATATCACCCAACACTAAAACCTAAAAGATATTTCGAAAATGAAACTCTGAAAAAATTACCGAACTCTGCGCCGCAGGTATAGGGCCTTGGCGCCGCATACGTTTGTCGGGGCCTTGGTAACAACTGGATTTCCATTACGTCATGGGTGATGATGTCACACCACGGGTGACGTTTCACTGCTGCTGCTGCTGTCCACGGAGGGCAGCGTTTGTGAGTGGAAAACAGTAGCAAAATTGTAAATGAAGGCAGTATTGGCGCTTATGCTACATATGAAATTTATAACAAAATATTGATATTAGTGAATGTTTATTTTTGTTACTTTTCATAAACCCTCCAGTTTCCAGGGTCTGCATGCAAAAGTTCTGTTATTTTAGAGTCAAGCTATTGTACTAAGGGATTCATTTTGGCAATTAAGTCATGTGTTAGGTTATAAGGCTGCAGAAATTTTCAGTTGAGGTTGGTATCCACTATCCAGTTGCAGCTATAATTGTGTCATATTTTGTACCATTTTCTGAACATGTAAACACCTACCTATATGAATTCAAATATTGTGATTGTAGAAAAGCAGTTACCCTCACATTGCAGCGAGGATTAGAACAATTAACCACACTTGTTATACAAAAAGCCTGTTTGCCATCAATTTTGGGAATTCAATTGGGTATTGGTAAGGTAGACGTAGCACAAGCTGCCCTATGCACGATGACGAGAATGGGTCTTTCTAACCAAACCTTACCTAACCTGACCTACAACCTATAGCCTCATACCTAAAATTTACAACCTACGACCTAGTCCTACGGTATGGCATATCACGACAGCTTGTGCTACGTCTGCTACCATGACCCAACTTTGTTCCAACTCATACCAACTTGGGATGACAGTCACTGCAGATGTGTGCTGACCATGCAGGTCTTTGTTACAATTGCAATTCTATTGTGTTACAGGTTCGGTGTTCTACAGCTGCGACCCGCCATGGCTGGGCCACCGCGGCGGCATCACCTTCAGGGTGGACCTGCCCGTGGCCACCCGCCAGTCGGACCCGCCTGCAGTCTGCAGGGAAGCTGCCCTGCGAGCCATTGCAGACCTCCCGCACCCGGACGTCACTATCTGGTCGGACGGCTCGGCTCGCGGCAGGACGGAACAGGGCGGCGCAGGCGCGCTGATCCAGTTCCACCACCTCAACAGAGAAGAGACCGTGCGCGCTCCTGCAGGGGCGGTCTGCTCCAGCCTAAGAGCAGAACTGACCGCCATGCGCGAGGCGTTCGCGGCTGTGGCCGGCCTGGAGGACGGGGAGTTGGCATCGACCAAGTCGGTCCGCCTCCTCACCGACTCAAGGTCTGGGCTCCAACTACTCGGCCGCGGCCCAGCTAACCAGACCATGGCCCTGGCCGCCGAGGTCTGGAGGCTGCTGAGCACCCTCGCCGAGAACGGCACCGAGACGGTGCTCCAGTGGGTGCCAGGCCACGCCGGGCTGGACGGCAACGAAACCGCCGACCGCCTGGCTGGCGAGGCCACGGCGGGCGACCAAGACAGCGCACCGATCGACCTGTCGAGTGCGCACTGCGCAGGCCGCCGTCACGCGCCATGTCCGGGAGCTGTCGCGACAGAGGACAACCGCTGCCCACCCGCACCCGGACCCCACGCCTGGCCACGACTCCCTGGCGCGCTGGGGGTCGGTGACGCTGTCCCAGCTGAGGACCGGCACATCACCGCTGACCCGTGACACGCTCCACAAGATTGGCCTGGCAGCCGACGACGAATGCCCCGCGTGCGGGGAGCCCGACAGCGCGGCGCACCTACTGACCGATTGTCCGGCCTATGAGGCGGCCCGCCGCCGCCGCTGGGGTGTCGACCCTCGCCTGGTCGACGTCCTCGGCGGCCCGGCGACGAAGGTCGTCACCTTCATCGAGGATGTTGGGCGGACCGAGCCGCCGCTCAACCCGCCTGCGCCGCCGCCCCCCCCCCCCCCGAGCGGGTTGGCGGTGGGATGCAGAAGAAGAAGAAGCAACTGCCAGCGCGCCACGGCGGCGAAGCCGAGTTCCGTCGCTGGACCGCCCGCGCAATGGCCAGCACAGACAAGCGGCAACCGAATCACAACACCTACAATTACGTTATTGTTATGGTATTGTTACAATTAACCCTGCTCTTTCGAGCGTGGATGCACGCTGAAATTGTCGGCCGCATAATTCCATGCAGCTTCCACCCTTCTGCAATACAAAGCTTGAATACAAAGTAGTCTTGCAATAGGTTTAGAACTTATGTGCAGATTGTCGATGCTGGTCGACTTGATGATTAGAATTGTGTTTATCTGTTTCATCTGTTTTGACTTAAATATATGGCCATGGGGCATGGACTATGGCCTACCTTGGGAAGTGTCTCTGATTTCAACAAAACATTTTTCATCAGGGTACGCTGCAGGGTACATAGTACATACGTAGTGAAAATTTTGAGCATGTATGGGTGCGCATGTGGAGATGTAGACTGCGAATGAGACGGACTACGACGGTTTTTGAACCAATTAAATCTGATTGACAACATAATGTAGGACTAAAAACTGACTGTCAGAAGAATATTCACAGAATATTCACTTCACCCGGTACAACGAAAAGGGAAAGTCAGGGAATAGAGGCAGGGTACATCTCGAAGATCAAATTGCAGGTGCCGATTGGTTATGGATCATCGCAGCTCAAGGTAGGAACTGCTTTGTGCTGCTTTATTGTTAACTGAAATTGCTTCCACCTTGTATTGAAAGAAGTCATTATGGAAGATTTTAAAAAGGTTCATGAAAAATGTTGAATACTTTGAATGTATATTTCTGCAGAATTATACACCCGTATCATTCTTTACATGTCAATATTTGTATATTATCTAGCATATAAGAAAATAGTGGCCTCAAGTTTCTAGGAAATATCTGATCTTGCTCTCTGGGCCACCGCAGATCCCTAAAAAGTTAGAAGCCGTCTTTATTATTTAATGTATAAAACCAAATGAATTATCACTGCTCAAAAGTGGAAGAAATGACAAATGAAAAAAAGTTTTCCTACAGCGTTGCAATCCAGATTTTCAGATAGTGATGGGCGTACTAGAAAGCAAGTAAAAGGTATTGTAAAAGTACTCCACAAGGTAAAAGTAAGGAACAAGAATATCCTTATACTGTTTCAGAATTTGGTAACAAACATTTTTGATGTGTTTTAAATACCCGAACGAATCGATTCCAGAATCAGTCTTGATGATATTATATGGTTTTTGTATGGTGTTGGTGGTACTTGAATGACCAAAGTCAGTACATGTCCATCACTTTTCGATATTTCCGTGGTGCTCGCTCCCATTTCATAGCTGCTCACGGTGTTTTCTGCTGACGTCATATGGTGCTGCTCCACTAGCGCCACCATACGGCGTCAGCTGGCGAATTATCCAGTTAATACCAGAGCCCCGTTTGTCGTTTAGGAGTTGGTGCATCGTCAAGGACATACTTTTGTTATGCTCTTACTTTTCTTCACATGTTGTGAAATGACGTCACACTCAAATAGTCACACTAACGTAGACGAGGAGAGACATCTATCGGCAGCGATCAGTAGTAGACCGTAGTGCCTTGCGGTACAGCATGATTCAGGCGTGATACTTGGACGACATCTGTTGGCGGTAAATGTTACTAAAGGCGGAAAACCTTTACCCGCGCCCTGTTGGGCTATTGGCGGAGTAAAGTAATCTTGATTGGCGTACCCTACCACCGGTGGGGGGTGGGGGGGGGGGGGGGGGAGAGGTCGTTTCGGCCCCCCCTCAGATCTCGGAAAGTTACAGGCCGATTTTGAAAATTCAAACGACGGTATTCGATGGCGCCACAAGGGAATACCTTGAGACCAAGTTTCGTAAACCTAGGGTCAACTGATGACGTCACAGGTCAGGTCAAAGGTCGCATTTTTCACCGATTATGGGCCCTCTAAGGAATGCGTTATAACATCGAATAAAAGCATGTTATCGAAAAGCATCGATGCAGCGTTGGTTACCTAACCTTCCAGGCGGTGGGGGGGGGGGACATTTTTTGCCCCCCCCCTTTAGTTTTTTCGATATATCTCGAGAACCACAACGCCGATCGTCACCAAACTTTCAGTACCCTCCCGTGAATGGCTATTGCAGAGGTGAATAAAACTCAAAAGCTGTCACCTACGCGATGTCTAGCTGTCACGAATTTTTTTACAAGCCATCTTGAAACAGTAGGTCCTACCCTATTTTACGTTTTCTCATCACCTTTGAAGGCCAAATTTCGGCCTCTGGGCATTACAACGCATCACCACATTTCAGTGACACAGCAACAAAAAATAAATCACTTTCTTCCAACTTACCTAAAGGTCTGATCGATTTCCTAGCTTCTCCTGGCTCCTGGCTTCCAGATCCAGTTCAATCAGAACTCACGAAAGGATTGTCAGCTTTGTCACTGATTCACTTGCCTTTGCTTCAGCAGTCAGAAACAATTATCAACGCTCCTACCAAGTTTCTGGGACCGATGGTCATGGACCTCACCCCAGTTGTGGCCCAGATGTGACGTCCCCCATCCCAGTCGTCCGGTCCTCCCCTACTCTACGGCGGCCAAGGCCGCGCCAGTCCCCGCCACCGCTCAACCGGCGACGAGCGGGGACGAGCTGTCGCGCTGTCGCCGTTTTTCCTGCGTTGTCTATGGCGATTCACAACGCACCGGCTGTCGCACCGGCGGGATTTTTCAGCCCCAGCTGTCTACAAAGAGATGACGCTGTTAAATTTTTGTGCCGTGGTCCATAGTGACTCTCTATGGGAAGACAGCTCTGATTTTAGCGGAAACGGCCTAGTTATCAATTTTAGATGCATTAACTAATGGCTGTCACCTACGCACGCAGGCGAGTAGCAGGTTTTTTTCACCTCTGGGCTATTGCACATTGTGTCCAATTTTTTTTTTCCAAAGGCTATGGATAGGTTGGACGCTAATGACGTCAGAGTGATGTCATTTTTGCCATTTTCGACCCAAAAAAAGTTCCGCGAGAAGAGCTGTCAGGCCTTTAGCTTTAGAAA